GACAGCTCTTGAATCCATTTAAACGATGTTTCTGGGTAACGCCTGTACGTACGGACAGAATAAAAGACTTTTTTTTTTTTTTTTTTTCAAAACGCTTTGTAAAATGTACTTAAAGTGGATTCAGAAGGCATTTTTGGTAACGTTTGCACGTACACGCGTACGTACGTATGTCTCTCGCATAACTCAGAGTAACGTCAGAACGTTTGTGCATTTATATCTGCTATAACATGTAGTTGGGCATCTTCCTTTTTGATTTGGATTTCAGTTGGTTAACAATTAACGTCTTGCAGAGAAACGAAATTCTAATTTGTTTTGCTTGAATTATTGGGCTCGAATGATTATCGATAGCACACTGCGAGGTTGAATATTGCAGCAGCATTGTTAAACGAAATAAGACACGAAGACGTCGGTTTCAAATGTGTTTAATCGTTTCTAAACCGTGTTACAAAGCAGGTTCAGTTCGGCGTCCACCATTTTCCGAAAGCAAGATAAATCGTATTACTGCATTCTCAACAGCAGCTCGTAGCATATCAGAAAGAATGTTACGGACATGTCGGTATATCGCATCTTTCAATTCCACCAAATTGTTCAGATTATCACCATAAATAGTGCTTCTGAGATAACCCCATATTCAAAAGTCTCAGGAGTTGAGGTCTGGTGACCGGAGTGACCAAGAAGTAGGGAGGTGTCGGCCTATAATCCGTTCGTTTGTGAAATATTGCCTAAAAAACTGTGTGACATATGTACCAATGTGCGGTGGGGTCCTGCCCTACATAAATATCGGGGTGTCTGAAATACCACGTTGCTCCAGTTCAGGTATCACGAAACGTTTTAAAATTGGCGCTAAGCGGACTGCAGTCACAGTCCATGGAACAGGTCCTTTGGGCTCTTTTAGAATTATTGGAAAAATATATTTATGTTAAAATTAGAAATCTTGCATTTTACAAGTAATCCGTAATTTCAAGATGTTTCAGAAGGAAATCCTAGAGATTGAAAAAGAGGAGAATATAGGTAAGAAATATAGATGTCGTGAAATAATTAAATCTCTTTATATTTGCAAAAGCGACAGAGCCTTTTTCTTTTCAGACAAAGCCAAGCTTTCCAACACGAATGTTTACGCTAAATCACAAATTGGAATTTAATTATGAACCCGCTTTTTTAAAACCTCACCTTGACACAATTCCTTTGAATAAAAACACGCGAAAATTATTGTCTCATGAAGTTAGAAAGAACCTGTGATTATTTCGGCCTGAAAGATCTAGAACTCGTTTTACACGACCGAAATCAAAGGAAAAATGCGTAATCAGAACCAGGAGAGTGTAATGCAGGCATTGTCACTAAACATGAATAAAAGTGAGATTCTACGAATATCTGGTATTGTCAGAAAATATATTTCTTTTCAATCGTTGAAATGTAATTTTAAACGAAAGCTTAGAAAAAAGTAAATAAATAAATGCTGTAGGCCTAGTAAAGTTGAGAACACAACAAAAGCAGTAAAAGTATATTTTATTCCAGTTCATTATATTCTATAGTAGCATCTAATGGGAAAATGCTTTTGTTAAAGAACTTAACGGAGAAAGTTATCTCCAGAGTTGTATAAACCCAAATAGAATTCAGCAGCTGTTTCGGACTCCTTTTGTAAATATAATTATTAGTTCAAAAGGTCTATTCGACTCGAAACGGCATTTTGCGTCGAATCACTATAAAATTACGTCGTATCACTATAAAATTAAAAATACGTCGTATCTCTTTCAAATTGTTGCCACCAAAATATTATCGTCCTGTATTGTATTTAAATAAATTAAATAATGAAGAATCTGCGTAAATGTATGTGTCTTTCTCGCATTGTGTAAAAACAACGATATTGAGAGTCATCACGTTTTGAGTAACGTAGTCCTCCACTCGAACATGGTCACCTGAAGCCCGAATTTTTAATTTCGAATTTGTTTGTTTCATATTTTTTAAAACTTTAATGAATTTTTGATTAAAAACTCAACGATTTCAGAGGGAGTAATGGCAACACTATACAGAAAAAAAATCATTTTTATTTCCAGGGCGTCAGACTGTCTATCGGTAATTCTAAAATATGCTGCTTTTAAATATTTTTAGCCCAAATGCTTTCGAAACGTATATGTATGAGTGAATTGAAAAAAAGTGTTCCTTTGTAAACTTACTTTTTCAATTTTTTATTTTTGCTAGGATATTTGCTTCTTATCTGTGTAATTCCTCATTCATATCTGTGCAATTCATCGTCTCAATTTCATTCCTGTAACGATGGTAATAAAGGAAGATACCATATTTCTACTTCAGTATTTTTCTTAAACAGACCAAAAAGCCTTGGATAAGGTAAAATCATTATGCAAATTGATATAACCACCATCATTAAATCTCAGCTTCTTTAAGACGACCACCTTAACTGAAGATCAAAATTATCTGAATTAAACCTTGGGTGTTAAAGAGAATAAATTTATTATACTGCCCTTTTTAATCCCAGATTCAAAATCCATGATTTCAGTTTAAAATTCGAATTAAATAATACGTGCTTCTAAACTAAGACAATTTTGATTACACGGTAGAGTTTAGTTAAAAAGTACTCGAATGATAAATTTTTACACGAAACAAATTTACCGCGAAAGGCATTTTTTACAGCCAAAATCATCGGAGAAAATTGTCATCATAAGATAAAATAACCCATGATAGCACTAATTAAAGTATGCAGAAATTGTGATGAAAAAAATTATGCATGTAATTCTAAAATGGAAACGTACGAAGGTGAATTCATTGCATTAGATTATTACTGGATATGATTGCCTATTATTGCATAGAGGCGTAAGAATATAAGCATAGGTTTCAAATTTCTATCCACAAATGTGCTACTTTTCGAAATTTTTATCAGTTAAATTCAGTTTTGACTTGACCAGAGTTAAATTAAGAAAAATAAGCACGAGCTTAGGATATCAAAGGTATGGGGAACCACAAAAGGGTCCTTGGAATTGAAGGAAAGGGAGTACCTCCAAAAATTCTCATTGCTGGTTTTATTAGGGAATGTATTGTAAATGTATTATGTGGGGACACCAAAATCTTTTAAGTGCTTAAGACCTCTGAAAGTCTTAATCTGGCCCTGGATATATTTGACCCTTGAAACAGATACTTTCGCATTCTCTTTCCACTAACTGAAAGTGATTTAAGTCACATAATTTTTGTAATTACTTTTGAGGACAATATTCGTATTTTAAATAGTGAGAGCTTTTAACGAAAATAACTGGATTGAGATCAACTTAATAAATATAATTTTCTTCTCAATGATCCTGCATAAAAAATTGAATTGTCTATATTGTTTCTAAAAGGTGTCTCTTGATAATAATGTTTACGGTTAACAAAATTTTAAAATTTAAAAGCAACATACACAGAGTGTCCCATAAATATTGGTACAAACTTTAACGGCAGATAGGGCACTTCAAAAAGATCAAGAATTGTATAGTAACTTATGACCGCAAACGTCATCATACGCTGTTAGGTGGCGCTCTTCACAATACTTGGGCTGGCTTGGTCGGCGATTGCTTAGTCAGGGTTTACCTGTTGCCATCGCCAGAAAATTATCTCATATTTTCAGTTGTATTAGGCTTATTCCACCTTGTGCCACCAAATATGAAACGCAATATATGGTTTCAACATGACAGGATATCTCGCCATTATGGAAGATGTATGAGTGTGCCGTTTGCTCAAAGGTGGACTGGGCGTGGTTGATCTGTGGCCTAACCCCCGCACTGTCTGGATTTCATTCTTTGGTGAACATTTAAAGCTGCTGTGTATGAAATTGTCTTGGGTCCTCCTTGAAAGCTATGATCGCTCGTCACGTTTTGCGAACTTGTCCGATTGGATTTGTCTTGCTCCTTTTGGTACTTCTCTTCTTCCCCTTTTCTCCGTTTTCTCATCTGAGATTTTCTCCACGTCCGGAATTCTTTATATCAAGTGCCCTTGGGCTTTAATTCTGGAACCAGCGACATTGCTCTTCGCAATAACTCGATCAATTATAGAGTCTAAGTCATCTGTGGAACCTGAAATTGATCTGGTTGCAAGAACTGTCTGCGCTGTTGATATCCAAACAAATCCAGGTGTTTTTGGCCTGCCCTCCAATCCGTGGTTCCGTCGGTGCAATGTATGCAACACTTTTAATAGTAGCAACTTTGATCATCTTTTGTAGCATTTTGAAATGGTATCATCTCCTACAATATTACGCGATATTTATGAGCAATAAGCACTTCTGGTAATTTCTGTCTTGTGTCTTTTCGTTTCTTGTACCTCTGGATACCACTTTAACGTGACGTTTCCGGTCATGGCTTGTTATACAATTCTCAATCCTTTTAACGTACTCTGTCTGCTCTTAAAGTTTGTACCAATATTTATGGGAGACGCTGTAGATAGTTTGATAACTACAGTCTGTATAATGATGAATTTCATTACAATCATGATGTTTTATTTTTCATATTTCAGGCTTTGTAAATGGCATTTATAAATTTCACTTGAATGTCAATAATACAATGTTTGCCATAAAAAGTGTAATTGCTAATAAAAGCATATTATTTATAAACAGTTTATTTTATTACATTGATAAATCAGGTGTTATAATAACTAGCAAGGTAAATGAATTTAGTGTGGTTTAGGAATAGCTTCTGTTTTGCGAAAGCATACATTTTCATCTCAAACCGTAAACACCACACAGTGTTTTAAAATATATTGAAACTCTTACATGAATAAATTTCACATGAAGTTAAGTAACTATCAGTTATATAATAACTGAAATAGTTTAACATTTTTTACAAATTAATGTCATACGAAATTTAAGAGGCTCATTTTTTCCTGCTATTTAAATGTAATAATTAGAACCAAATGTAAAAACCTTACGCTGTATTTTGAATGCTTGATAATTAAAAAAAAATTCAGAAAATGAATAGTTACAAGGAAGAAAAAAATCTTTACAAATACGTTTTACCTTTCAGGTTCCTTCTTCATTCCTTACACCTCTATCCTTTTATTATTGCGCAACCGTTCAAGTGATATGCATTTCCCAGGTAAGCCCTATACAAGATTATTCTCTCTCTCTATATATATATATATACATAATAAATGAATAGGCAGGTCCAGGGGAGCAAAATAAGCAAATTTTATAATGAAATGGGTATGCGAAACTGGTGCGTGAAACCGCTGGCTCATAAGGAAGATGCGGACAACTGGTCCATACAGCAAGTAAGAAAGACTGGCAAAGTCTAAAGGAGGGGAGAACATTTTAATGATTCAAACCTTGTTAATAGGTGCTCAAAAATATGATCACACCCACAGGTCATTAGGTTTTCTGATGCTGGAGTCATTAGGTTCTAGAGTCATTAGGTTTTCTGATGCTGGAGTCATTTGGTTCTAGAGTCATTAGGTTTTTTGATGCTGGAGTCATTAGGTTCTAGAGTCATTAGGTTTTCTGATCCTAGAGTCATAAGGTTCTAGAGTTATTAGGTTTTCTGATGCTGGAGTCATTAGGTTTTTGGATGCTGGAGTCATTAGGTTCTAGAGTCATTAGGTTCTGGAGTCATTAGGTTCTAGAGTCATTAGTTTTTCTGATGCTGGAGTCATTAGGTTCTAGAGTTATTAGGTCTTCTGATGCTGGAGTCATTAGGTTCTAGAGTCATTAGGTTTTTGGATGCTGGAGTCATTAGGTTCTAGAGTCATTAGGTTTTCTGATGCTGGAGTCATTAGGTTTTCTGATGCTGGGGTCATTAGGTTTTCTGATGCTGGAGTCATTAGGTTCTAGAGTCATTAGGTTTTCTGATGCTGGAGTCATTAGGTTCTAGAGTCATTTGGTTTTCTGATGCTGGAGTCATTAGGTTTTCTGATGCTGGAGTTATTAGGTTTTCTGATGTTGGAGTCATTAGGTTCTAGAGTCATTAGGTTTTCTGATGCTGGAGACGTTAAAAATGACCATTGTTCTTGTCGGTATTCGACTCTGGACGTCTCAATTACGCGCCGAATGTGCTACTACGAAGGCATGCTGAAAGGAGGTGGGAAATACCTTTTATACGCCCCATTTTAAAGGGCGACTGGGGATTAGGAGACCAATCATGACATCCTCCTTGTGGTGACAAATTATTTTCCACCACCTTTTAGTTCGAGCCCCACTGTAGATTCATTAGGTTATTTTGAAAGAGGAAACATGAAATATGAGCAATGTCCTCGCCAGGACTCGAACCTGGACCTCTCGAATAGGCAGCGAGTGTGCTACCATTACACCACAAAGGCATGCTCGAAGGAGGCAGAAAATACCTTATAAATTTTAAGCCAGGTCAACACTTGTGCATCCGTGTAGACACGTAAAGTACCGCCGACTTTGCTCACTGTTAAACTTTTGTCCCGGATGAAATTCCGAATGAATCCCTGGGTTGTGGTGGTGGTGGTGCGCTGCAGAAGAGGACCTTTTATGATGTTACCCTGTAGAGAAATAAGTTTAATTGGAAAAACTAGAGAGATGAAAAATTAGCAACCGCCTTCGCCGGGAATCGAACCACGGACCTCTGGAATACCGGCCTTGCGTGCAGAACCACTACACCACGAAAGCACGCTAGGAAGGCGGGAGAAATAATTTACTCCCCCTTTTAAAGGGTGACTGGGGTTTGGGGGGGACGCAATCTCCAAATCCGGAGTGTGGAGAGTCCTCATCCACAACCCTTTTAGTTCAGGCGCCACTGTAGAGACATTTATAGGAAAAGCCAGAGAGATGAAAAATTATCAACCGCTTTCGCCGGGAATCGAACCACGAACCGTTGGAATACCAACCCAGCGTGAAAAACCACTACACCACGAAGGCACGCTAGGAAGGAGGGAGAAATAAGCCTTACAGCATTAAAATCCAGTGTGCAGAAGCTATCTGCTACTGCTACACCGCCGCATGCGGTGGGTGGGCGAAGGGCTGTTCAAGTGTCTCCCACCCCTCTACTCCTACCACACTACTTTGGCTCCGTGTATTTTGAATGCCTCTTTGCCGCACAGACACTGCACGCTTATAAACATCCATACCTTCTCCAGGAATCGAACGCGGGTTTTTCGGTACGGCAATAAATGTCGCTAATCATCATCCCGCTTGGACGGCAGATCACATACACAAGTATAGAGGCAATGTACGTTAGCAAAGGTATCAGGTATTTCACGCGTATTTCCCGCAGCTCCTGAGTCTGGCCACCAGATCTCCATCGGACTCTATGGGGATTTTTTGGAGATCACACGCACAAGAAATCCGTGCATTTAAAAATCTGGTGATTGTAGTGGCCAAGAAACAGATGTCTTCTCTCTGTTTCAACTGATACAACAGAGGTCGTTCGAACATCGACGTAATTTCTCGCACAGTTCCTCGTTAAGATTCTAGAACGGTCGGCGTTCTCGGAGATCGTTCTCTATGTATCCTTAGAATAACTTCCCCATTTCTGTCTGCAACCACAGAGCACGTCGGCGATCTCGCATTCGAATAGAGAGGCACACTGCTAAAAATCCATGCAGAGAAGGATGATTTACGCCAGCACATAGCTTACCGATCTCAACAACTTTATCTACCCCCTCAACCAGCCATTTTCGCACACACATTTCCATACAAAATCTGCTTATTTCTGTCTCACTAGCTACCTTTATATATTTGCCAGATATTTCAGAAGCATTCTACAGGGTGGTTATAATTAAAGTTCCACTTTGAAAATGGTCATAAGAGGAAAACTACTGGACCAAATGTTATCAAACTTGGTAATCGTTTAAAGGAAATCATGGAAATTTATTCTTCGCGTAAAAAAAAAAAAAAAAAAAAAAAAAAAAAATCAAAAACTCACCACCGAAGGGGGATGGCTCTACATGCATTATTGTCAAATGAAATAAGGGTTAGAATCTAACTTAACCTTTTGCTACACGTTTTAACATGTTACATACCCTTAAGAAACCCTTAAGTTGGCTTAAACAAAATTACCATTTAAAGGCGATGAAAGTGGAGTGCGCCATCAGTGTAACGGAGAAATCTGTCAGTGAAAGCCACAAAATAGCGATTAGAAAATGCAAGATCATACAAATCGCTAATCTGTGATTTTTGAAGTCTGAATTCAGCCCTAAGACATGAAGATATCGGTTTAAAACGTTTTTAATCGTTTCTAAAACGAAACTGTTTGTGGCGTTATGCAAAATCGCATTGGCTTGTAATTGGCTTACAGCAGCACGGTTTATGTTGGTAATCTAAACAATTTGGCGGAACTGAAAAATGCGATCCACCGACATGTCTGTAACATTCCTTCTGATATGCTGAAAGCTTTTGTCTTCGTGTCTTATTTTATTTAACAATATTGCATACAGCGCCATTACCAATTATAACCATCCTGTTATAATTGGTAAATTCATTATATATCAAAGTCAGTATTTTTCCCCCTCTTTTATAAAGTTCTGTATGAGTTATAAGCTACATAAAAGTTCCTTACAAATTTTTATGAAAGTTTTAAGGAAAGAAAATAATATATTTTGGGAGAAAGCTTAGTTTAATCAAAAAAGGAATTCCGTTTTTCGGTTAGGTAATTGATAATAAGAAGAGGGAAAAGTGAAATAAAACTATAGTTTCAAAAGCAATCAAACGGGTGTTAATCTTCACACAGAGAACTAACTGATTTACATCTGTAAATACACACGGTAGGTCACGATTCAGTAACGGATCGTGAGACAAGTTTGGTGGACCTCGAAAGGTTTTGAAGTCTTTTATTTTGTTATGAAATTATACTTATTCATTTCAAAATTTTGAATTAATTTGCATCATTGATTAAATCATATTTGTTAGACATTTGTTTATTATTGGCTCGTAATACATATGTTTTTCATTTCTTTGAGAGTAGTTATGTGTATATGGGTCAAGCCGGAACTATATGCTCATGTGGGTGGCGATGAATAAAATTTCGGCACATAATGGTGTAACAACACATACAAAGAGAACGAAAGCAGATAATGGCTGTAACAAATTTAATCATTCACTGACAATGTTGAAAAAAGAAACGTCCTTATTAAATCAAAAACCGGTAAAGGTATAGTGACCGAAACTGACTTAACAAAAACTTACAGTAAATTATTCGCTAGTACAGAAATTAGATGCCTGGGAAAATTTCGTTTTTGCTAAACTTTTCGCAGGTATGGAAGTACAGAGCATTCTTTATATATATGACAGTGATTTAAATTTTTCCTGACTATTTCGATTAGCAAAGCAAATTTTAAAAACCTTTTTGAAAAACGAGCTCCTCGATTCTCTTTTGAAACACTTGAGCAGAAGCTAGCTTCAGTTATAAGTTTTTGATCCACCAAATCAAAGCCTTCTATTGAGATTCCAGTGGTAATTTTCTTGCGATAATTTCCTCATTCATCATCATTTTCCCATTCCCGTGGGAGATGAGTGGGTTTCTATCGCATTCTTCTTCTCATGTAACTCGAATATGAGTTGAAGCTAAAGGCATACACATACATCTAAAGTCAGATGCCAATAGAAAGCCTATTCGTTAATTCCGGCAGTCTCGTGTTTAATAGCGAATTAACGTATCTTTTAATTAAGGCATCTAACAGGATCTAGAAATACCTTCTTGTGCATTCTGGACGCCATGATGCATAAAAAATTTAAATCATTTAAAGAAATTATAAAATTTTAAAATCGATCTTAGTCTCTTGTTCTCAAAGGGTTACAAGTAAAGAACACATTATTAAAAATTATTGGTGTGATTTGAAATGGACTTTATATTTGACAGAGATTTTATTTGCCAGAGCTTTTACTTCCTTGTACGAAGTAAAGGAACTATTGTAATCGCGGGAAAATTTCGAGTATCATATTTCAAAGAAAATATCTATTTTGACCGCTTTCGGGTCCATCTAAACGATATCTTTCCGTGTCATCGGTATATACGGACAGAATAAAGAAATCTTTTATTTCAAAAATGAGTCTTTAATATGTCCATTAATTCAGAAGAAATTTTTTTCATTACGTCTGTACATTCGTAAGTAAGTATGTATCTTGCATAACTCAAAAACGAGTAGCCGTAAAACGTTGGGGATCGTTACAGAGGCTGTTCACACATTTTTTAGACGATGTATATTGTACTCACAAAACTAAATTACATAAAATTCTTGTATTTTAAATGTTCTTTTGACATCCCTTATTCTGAACTATCTTTCGACACCGCAATTTCCAGGATAATAATGCCTTTTGAGGTGGCAGAAGAGATATTCTATCCCATTCCTCCCGAACAGCTTTCCAGAGTCCTGTTAGGGTTTTGGGACAACGTATGGATAATGCAGTTTTTAAAAGCCCGAAAGCACAAAAATCCATAGGTGACACATCAGTAGATTTAGTAGGGATATCAGTGAAGGGTATGGCCTTGATACCAGTTTTTTGTTCCATTTCTTTTAGGAAATTTACAGTGGATTTGGATGTGTGACTGCTAGCTTTGTCCTGATGGATTCTCACAGATGGATGTCCTGTGGGTAAAGCGATGGCATTTCATTCAGAAAAATTGGCGATAAAATATGTTCCTGATAGTATTTGGAGTTAATCTTGACATTTTTTTGCACTCTCTTTATTTTTAACTTGCCATTATAAGAAAAACCAGCAACCATCACGAATCCCTTAGAAAAACTTTCTTTCGATTCTTTGAACCATGTACTTAAATTTTTTCACCCCTTTTATGATAATAAATGGCTCTTTTTTTGTTACAATCATTTAAATACACCCATGCTTCATCTATTGTGACAATTGTTTTCCATTTTTCTTTGGATAAGTGTTTCTCATATAGAACTCTGCAGCGTGTCCTGCGTTGAGCGATATGCTTTGGAAGAAGACGATGCACATTGCGTTTTTTCGCTTTCTTAAGATTTAAATCAACATTTATCATTTTGTTTACAATGGACACCGAGCATTTTAATGATTTTTCAACTGTCCTTTGACTATGGGGATTTTCTTTTAACATTAAACAACGTACCTTTGCAATAGTCGAATATGTCCGTTTTTTTCTTGGATACTTGTTTGGAATTTTTGTTCCACCTGAGGCTCCAATTTGAATTTTGTTTCGTTTCTTGTTGATGATATTACCAATCGACGCTTTAGATATCACAAAACCATGACTCTAACATTAATTTTGGATAACGGAGTATGCATATTTCTCTTCGGAAAGAGCGTCAATGTAGCCTTCGAACCACTGCTTTGTTAAATTCGCCATTTTGAATAAAACAAAACTTTCAAGCCGCAGACG